TGTTTTGTGGTTTCTAACATTTAAAAAAAATGAATTAAAAAATAAAAAATAAAGAGAGAGAGAGAGAGAGAGAACAGAACTATATCCTTGAAGTTGGAATGAGTCCATTTTTTTCCCCTTGGAACAACCACAATAGGATGGTTTTTACACCAGGGCAGGCACTTAGCCTAAGAAACAATTCATCAGGCCAAAAAGAGTGGAAAACTCATGGAAGTAAAAGTATCAAGGAGTCTCCATAGTCTACTTTTAATCCATTCAATTTCCTGCTAAAATAGAATTTCTTCCATTTGTGTCAATCCTTTGGGGTCAACACATAGCAGCATTCCCCTCAGTTTCTTCTGAAAACTTCCCAGTTTAGAGCCCCCCAAAGAGTGGCCAGCAGTCTCCGAGGCAGGTTCCCTCCTGCTGTGTGGTTAATGAAACTGGTAGGCCAGCCGCTTCCTCCTGGTTGCCATGGAAATGACCAGGCCGCTGGCCCTCTGAAAACGGAACAGAACAGCAAGTGCGAGACCACACATTCCAGCCTGGCTCGCAGATTCCACCAGCTGTCAAGCCAGGGTGAAGGATCAGTGGCCAGGCAGAGGGCTGTGGAGCAGGGAGACAAGGCCCCCGTCAGGAACTCCGAGATGTAAGTGGTTTCTCTGCTCTTCTTTTCTAAAGAACATATCTACTTTAACAGACACACAGTTTTAAATAGCTTCAGAATTTCTGCTGCATGGCAGAAAAGTTGTGAGACAGTTTGAAGAGCCACTGACAAGGTCACCTCTTTGTGGCTTCTGCGTTCTCTGAACACAGAGTGCACGGATGGGCGGATGGGCCGTGGTCACCATGAAACACTTTCTTAGGCTCCCAAGGATATGAATTGCTTTTTACTGAGATCTGCCTTTAAAAGGAAACGTTTCCAGTGTATTGAGCAAAGAATGAAGTGGTCTTCTCATTTAGTCCCTGAATAGATAAACGCATAACAAATATAATGATTTTTATCTCTGTGGAATCTGAGCTTTTTGTTTCTATTTTAAAACATCTGCCCATACTCGTGTGTTACTCTTTGATGTGAAATGGCAATTAAATCAAAGATAAAAATAAATTTTTTCTTTTTTTATTGTGATTGCAAACAAAGAAAAACTAGGAACTCTCAAAGCATCAGCTTATGTAGTTTTTTTTTTTTTGCTCTGTTTGTCTTTTAATAGTAATGTATTTACTGCCTGTTTATACACTATTTTTTTTACAGAGTTAACTCATTAGAAAAAAAAAACAGAAAGATAGATACAGTAATCTTAGATGAGCATTAGCATTTGGATTGGATATAGTTAGCTTTTTAAAAAAATTGCTTCTTTTATTTAAAAGTGAAAAAAAACACATTAAATAAAGAATGATAAAGGCAAGATGGGGGATGCTTTAGTTTAAATCCAGAAGTCCATACACAGTCCTGCACAGATTTTATTGTTTAATAAACATGTTTGGGGCAGTTTTTTCACAAAAGTATTCTGGTATATTTGGGGGAAAGAAAATGTTTCAAAAGCTTTGTGCATAATATTTAGAAAAACGTGTCCTTGAAAAACACCAAAAAAACCAGACCTCGTTTGTTTGAAATTTTGTTTGAAAGATTTCTTAATGAAAAGAACAATCCTTGAGAAGTTTCTACTTTTTATGTTTAGACTGAATGATACAAGGTTTGGAACTAAAAAATTATTCTTCATTCAATTTTTTTTTCTGACAAAAATTGGGCATTTTCTGAAAATAATAGTTTTGATAAAGCATTTATGGAAGTGAGTACTTTTCAACAGCTGACTTGGATTTCCCAACTTATTTTTCCAGACCAGTTTTTATTGCTTAAAGCTGGTATTCAATCAGTTTTTAAAATCCAGTGCCCAGTGGCTCCTGTCCCTGTGTATAGGAGCCGGTAAACTGGTGGGCCCCAGAGTGGAGAGTTAGGCCGTGCTGTTCTATGGGCATGCGGCCAGGGGCAGATGGAAAAGCTGTGGGTTTGAACCTCAGTGGTCCAGTCAACTGAGCATGTACCAAGTCACTCCAGGGGAAGACTTGACGGGTTGGCATTCATTGGCGAAGCCATTCTCCCCAGAGCTTGTGTTGAGTAGAAAGATACAGTTGCTGAACTTCAGGACCTCCCAGTGGCTCAGTCCCTTGGGTATGCTTTGTCCCCCATTCCATGCCTATGTTAGCAGATGCAGAGCTCAGTTCACAGTGTCCTCTGTTCTTAAGATGAACTTCAACTTCATTTTTTTTCAGTTTTCTTTTTTTAATACTTTTATTAGTGCATTAGAGTTACACATATTACTGGGGTTCATGGTGACATAATCCGAAATGCATGGGATATAATTTGCTTCATTTCAGTCCCTTTCCCTCCTTTCCTCCCTCCCTCTGTTCCTCTTCCTCTATACTACTTGTCTTCCTTCTATTAATTTATTGTTTTTAATCGGTGCTCTATAGGTATGCACAAGGATGGAATTCAATGTGGCACAATTTGGTCAATTTCATTCCACGGCTCCTCCCTTTTCCGTTCCCCCCTCCTTACCTCCATCTTCTCTATGCCACTTCATGCCTGCTATTTTCATGGGGTCTCCTCCTTTTTTCCCTTGTTTTGCTCTACCTTCAGCATATGACAGAAAACATTTGAAACTTGACTTTTTATGAACTTTGTAAAAACTTAATTTATAAATGCTTCTTTTTCCAAGAGTGTTTCTGAAAAGTTTATGTGTTATAGAACCTGTTTAATTCCTTTTGTGGCCTACCTATTTAGTGTGAGATCTCTATAGACATTTTTAGTTGAAGGCCACAGAGTCTAGTAATGGGATGGAAGGCACAGGACATCATTTCAACCTGCCCGTGATCCTGGAGTGGGAAACAGCATTGTAATTTCTGCTGTGGCTCCTTGGAGTGTATTTGGCTGTCTGAATTCAAATCTTGGCCATTACTAACTAGCACTGGGACTTGGCACAAGTTATTTAACCGCTCTCTGAGTCTCTAATTCCTACTATGAAAATGGGACCATATTGTCAACCTTTAGAATAATTGCAAAGATTGGATTATATAAAACATGGGAAGCACTTAGAAAAATACCTGGCACAAAAGAAGAATTCATTACAGGTTATTATTAATAGATTAAATATATATAGTTCCTGATTTCAGCCAGTTTTCAACATATCTGCATCTCTCACCTTTTTTATTTTTAAGCACATTGACTCTCATCAATGACTTTTTTTTTTTTCCAATGGGTTCAATCCTACTGGAGGTTGAACTCAGGGGCACTCAACCACTGAGCCACATCCCCAGTCCTATTTTGTGTTTTATTTAGAGACAGGGTCTCACTGAGTTGCTCAGCACCTTGCCTTTGCCAAGGCTGGTCTTGAACTCAGATCCTCTTATCTCAGTTTCCCTTGGGAGTCGCTGGGATTACAGGCTCTATGACTATTTCTATACTTAGCTAGCTTAGCCTTAAGGACACAGGGCTGAGGAACAGTAACATTTTGATACAATAGCATTTCTCTTCTATCTGAATTTTCTTAGAAATTAAGAGTTGTGTGTTTGACAGATGTCTATTAGAAATCCAGGAAGAACTGTCAAGGAAAATACTAGACATATGAGCCTGAAACTTGGGGAGGAGATTAGGAGTGGGAGATCCATCTTGGCGAGTTGTCAGCCCACTGGTGGTATTGAAAGCCGAGAGGTGTTCTGCAGTCACCAGGAGGTAATGCACATGGAGAAGAGAGTCAGGCAGGGTGGGAAGATGAGATGCCTCCCAAGGAGACAGAAGGAGTGTCCATGGGAGTATGAAGGAGAAATGGGGTGTCCTGGAAGAAGAGAAAGTTCTCCACTCAAGAAGGAAAAAGGCAACCAGGTCAAATGCTGGTGAGAAGTCAGGAGATATGAGGCCAGGAAACTGGCTTCTGAATTTGGTGTGTTGAGGGGTGGAAATCCCTGAAAACTGGATAAGAATGTTTCTGAGTGATGGCAACAAAAGCCTATTGAAGTGGCTTAAAAATTAAAACAGAGCTCAATGGTAGAGTGTTTGCCTAGCACGGGAAAGGCCTCGGATTTGATTGCTGACATTAAAAAAAAAAGAAAGTCTAACACAAACCGGTTCTGACCTCTATATGACCACAGATTTGCTTGTTTGCAATCTATTAATGGGAAACTGACAGCACTAAGAAAAAGAGGTCTGGGCCAAGTAAGAACTGTCAGTTATGTCCTTAGCCTCCCAAAGTTTCATGAAAGAGATGAAATTTAAAGACAGTTGAGGAAATGGAGGTGGTTTCTTGGAGAAGAAACAGATATCGTCTCCAGACCTAGCGGGCAGTGTAAGCAGCAAGAGGGAGAAATCAACTCTGGGTTGGAGAAAACATAATGCAACACACACACACACACACACACACACACACACACACACAAACACACAACTCCTTCCCACAATGCCTCCCCTTTCCCAGTTTGATGTGTTTCCAGTAAAAGGATTACTTCCTATTTGCATTTCTTGAGAGGCCTGGCCTCCAGTGTCATTAGGGAAACCAGAATCTTCTCTGTGGCCAGAGATTTGAAGAATTCATTTGGAGTTGCACCTGCACCCTTTGATGGCCACTCAGCTTAACCCAAATTGTGATGCCCTAATTACCTACTGGAGCTCTGCTGTTGTCACTGAATTAACCTCCAAAGAGTCATCAATGACATCAGGATCTTTTTAATAAACTCCATATTTTAGACCAGTTTTAAATTTACAGAAGAATGGTGAAAATAGCACTTTGTCACAGTTCACAAAGAGCTGTTGATGCACTATATTGTAAGCTGAAGTCCAGACGCTATTCAGATTTCCTCGGATCTCATCTAATGCTCTTTTGTGTCCCAGGCTCCCATCCACAATCCCACACAGCTTATACTCATCATCCCTAGGAGGCTTTTTAAACTCTTAGAGATCTTTCAAGAAAGCAATGAGATTTAAACGTTCTTTGATTCCAATATTTATATCTTAAACCACCAAAGGAAAACTTCATTTTTACTTATCTAAAATCGAATGGTGATAGGTTTAATGTGAACACAGATGAAAGGAAACTGCTCAGGAGTGACTTCTTGCAGTAATAAGTTCAAGGTACCTTACGGGAATGTAATATGTACAACTGAAAGGGGAAGGTCTGAATCCTCCTTTATTGTTGTAGAGCAGGTAATTAAAATGTTAAAGGCTTGCCAGCCTTGCCTTGTTTCTCATCTCCTAGCAAAGGGATTAGGGAAATCATTTCCTTGGCAACCTCACACGAAATGCTGGCCCAGTGATTTGAGCAAAGCTCTCCCTGAGTTAGCGCTATAAGACCAGACTATTAAATGGCAGGTTGTGGGGCACTTTTGCAGCAGGGGCTGTTATAATCCCCCAAGCGAGAGCAGTGAAGGTAAGGGCTGTGTCATGCTCACAAATGTCTGAACCCCATTCGGCCAGCACGCTGTATTTATGATTCCTGAATTTACAGACTCGGCCAATCTCTGGTCAAAAATATTCAGAAGAAACAGTGCATCTGTACTGAACATGTGTAAGTTCTTTTTTCTTGTCATTATTCCCTAAGCAATAAAGTATAAAAGCTATTGATATAGCATTTATATTTTAGTAAGTATTATATGTAACCTAGAGATGGTTTAAAGTATAGGGGGATATGCATAGTTAATATGCAAATACTACACCATTTTATACAAGGGGCTTGAACATCCACAGACTTTTTTATCCACAGGCTGTGGGGGTAAAGGGCGTTCTGTAAGCAATCCCCTGTGGACATTGAGGGATGACTCTGCTTATGTTTCCCTGAGGCCTAGAGAAGATGTGTAACATGAGACAGCACAGTGACCAGAGGCCCTGACTTTGAGCTCCTGTCCCCAGTTGAGGCAAGTATTCCATCCTGTGTCCCCATCAGATTCTCAATAAACTTCCAAGGCAACCTCAAATCTAGACTAGGCTAACTGGTAAGATCAGAGGAGGTTGCCAGATGCCATTCATGTTTAAATCATGGTGATAAAATTTTTGTTGAAAAATAAGACGAATTTTGCTTGCTGATTTTTTGTTTTGAGCCGGGACCTTACTATTTTGCCCAGGTTGACCTCAAACTCCAGAGCCAAAGCAATTCTCCTGCCTCAACCTCCTCCGTACCTGAAACTGCAGCTACCATTCCTGGCCTGCTTGCTGATTTGATGACATGATACACCACATAAAAGAAGTAATAAAGGTTCAAAAACATGCATCTTTGACTTTGCTATGGTAGGATTTATTTGGATGATCTACATATTCAAGAAGAGCCTCTAGGTGTCACATACTATGCTAAGGACGCAAGAAATACTGTCCATAAGAAAACTGGGTCTTATTGCATCAGAAACCTGCCTTCCATAACACACCAGCAGCCAGGGGGTCCAATATCCAAAAAGCAAATTACTGAGTTAAATCAACATGTAGTTGAATTCAATGTTCTGCTTTTCAGTCTCTTCTTCCTTGACTCAGTCTAGAAGTTCCTGAGAACTTCAATCTATTTTTATGATTTAGTCAATTTACTGCCAAAGTTGTGATTCAGTTGATACCTGAGGGGTTCTAGCTTCACCAGAAGGTTAAATTGACACTAATTGCTTGTGTTTGGCTGGCTTGTGCTCCTCCCTACCTGAGACAGTTCCTTGCTGCTCCCCCATCATTCTGTCTGCACAATTAAGTCCCCACCAATTATTTCTCAGAGCTCCCAGGAGCATCATGCCTCTCTTCTGCTCATCCCTGCCTCAAGCTCTCAGGCATCCCCAGCACTCTTTCTTCTTCCTTCCTCAACTGTTTTTACTCATGCAAACAGCCACCTGGAGATGGTCATTCTGAACTCACAGGAGGGATCCAGATGCAGAAGATTAGGCTTGGCTGTGGGCAGGAGAAATGACCACTCTGTGAGAATGTCAAGCTTGGAAATTCAGAAGAACCTTAAAGGAGCTCAGGATGTATCCCACAAACTCATGATCCAGTCTGGTGAGGGTAACAAGCCACATGACACAATCGCAAACATGGCATGGCCTGGAATAAAAAGGATGATTTGTTTTGGTCCAAAGAGGTGGTTTGATGTGATGACTTAGTTTCTTCATAATCTCCATGTTCATTTCCTATTGCTGCTGTAACAAATTCCTACAAACTTTGTGACTTAAGACAACATGAATTTTATTCTTCTACATGTCTGGAGGTCAGAGGTTCCAAATCAGACTGACTGGGCTAAAGTCAAGGTAATAGTAGGACTCGCTCCTTCTGGAGCCACCAAGGGACAACTCTTCCTTGCCTCTTTCTGTTTCTAGAGCCTGCAGTTCTCCTGGGCTTGAGGCCACATCACTGCAATCTCTGCTGTTGCATTTTTCTTCCCTGTCTCCTGTGTCCTCAGGCCTCTGTGATTACACAGGACCTAGCTCATCAATCCAAGATCATCTCCCCATCTCTAGATCCTTAACTGAATGACATCTGCAGAATCCATCTTACCACATGATGTCACATATTCACTAGTTCCAAGGATTGGGACATGAACATCTTGAGGGGCCATTATCAATCTATTACTTTATTAGAAATAGGAGAGCAGAAGTGACATTTTGATTATATCCCATACTCTCACTATCCCTTTAAACATTTTATACAAATTCAAATTAGTAGAAATGGGATCTGGACAATTAATTTACATCAATTAATTCCCAGGATAGCTCACTAATAATTTCAGAACTTCTATTTTCTCACAATTTACAGAGGGTAGTTGTAAATCTGATTTAATTTGTTATGGTAAAAACCAGGGAAAGAGACCTTTTTGTTTTATGCTGAAACTGTTCTCTAGTCATTTTTTTTTTTTGTATAGTGATGCAGTAAATGAATTAGTTATTTGGATTTCTTTGAGGTGGCCTCTGAAGATACCTTGATGGAACATACCAACACAGCACTGTTAACATTATAATTTTGACATGGCAAAATATTACAAATAATGCTATAATAATATGGACATTGTGGCATGCTTATGAGTAGCAGTAATAGTACTTATAACACTAGTATACTGTGTGTATAAATATATATGTGTGTGTATATATATATATATATATATATACTTATATATTATCCCATGCATCTAGCTTTGCTCTTGTAATCACATGCCACACTGAGAGAAATAAGTATCAGAAAAGCTCTTAGACTGGCGTGACCACATATCACCATTAGACATGAACAACCACAAAGATCTTTTAAATTATGTCCTCTTAAAACCTAATTGCATGCTTGAAATTTAATTTTGCTTCAATTTCAACGTATGGAGACATGAATTTTTAATTTGCTTTTTCTAAGTAAGAAAATATATCAGATGATAGAAAATAATTTAGGTTCTACTATACAAATCAAACAAGATGCCAATCACATAAAAATCATCAGAAGGTCAGCTCTTGCTTCTCACAATGAACCTTGTAAACCACAATAAAAGGGAAATAATTGCTCTTGTCAACAGAGTGGCAGATTCAGCGTCAGGCACTTGCAAAGGCATGTGAAAATTCGGTGGCTTGTATAGGAGTGTGCTGCTGTGGAATGTGAAGAAGAAAGAAAAGACAACACTTATTACATTAAGAAAACACTGGAGAGAGACCCAAATTAACTTTCAACTTCATAAGCTTTAAAATATCAAACATCAAGGATATAGCTCCCCGCTTTTAAATATCATTTTACATAGTGTTTATCTCCAACCTGCCTCCTGCAGTGCTTTTGTGGAACAAAGCCAAAATAAGAAAAATGCTAGAATTCTCCTTTCTCAATAGGGTTTCAAGGTCCTGAAACCCTAAAACCCTCACATAGTGCCTCTGTGACCATCTCTTCCATGAAACCCAGAAGAGCCGACCTTCTCTTTTGGCCTGGTTGGGAAGGGAGATTGCACAGCCATAGACAGATTGACAGGCCTGAGACAGGTGACCACTAACTTCTAGGACTTAGGGAGGAGTCCCCACCCCACCTCCCAATCTGAGTATCCCATCTGAGTCCTGCTATCCCTCTAATGAGGGCCAAGGTAGGGAGGGATAAGGCTAAATGTGTAAAGAACTTTGGCAAGGATAAGTTGGTTTAAATTCCTCTAAGGCTTAAGCAACTGACACGAGACCCTTTCTCAGGGTAGGTTTTCAGTGCTGGGCACCTGGAAAGAATGGATGTAGAGGATGATGAAGGAACCGAGAGGAGGGCTCTGCAAGAAGACCCTGGGAATGGAGATATAATTTACTTGCTTCATAGCCTGCCCATAGCTAGTCCTCATCAGCAGCTGGGCTTGCTGCCAGTCTGATCAAACCACTCAGGGCCTCCTGTCTCTGAGAGTGAGCTGTGCCTTTCAGATGGCTGTCAGAGAGCAGAGCGTACTTATCTAAGAATGAATTCCCAGGCAAGCTGCATCGGGATGCTCAAAAGGAGACAAATGGCTCCCAGTGTGGCCCAACTGGACTTTCCTGCTTTCTACACCACTAGTTCCCCGGGCGGGATTCAGGCACACTCACTGGAGGAAAGAGCCTCGTGCTCACCCTCTCCCTCCTTAAACATTCTTTCTTGGTCTCTCCAGCCACTCCATGATTCCTGATACTGAAATAGTTTTATCCAGAGAACTTAGTGTTGGGAATTTGCAAATAGATATAAACCTTCAGAGAAAATGCAAAAGAAATGTGTTTCCTCACTTGGAACTCTTTGTCCTATCTGTTTTCTTCCCCAATTCAGTCTCTCGCAGACAACCCCAGTTTCCTTCCTCAAGCATAGATCTGATGAGGTCTCCTCTGCTGCAAACCTGCACTGCTTCATTTTTGCTTCTGCAAGGGCCTCTGAAGGAGGGACACAGGCCTGCCAGTATTTTTACTTTTTATTTCATTTAAAAAAAAGTCTACCAATCGTGGATTGTTTGTAATATGGATAATATATAAGTATGCTAATACATGGGTGGCCTTTGTAAGTTTAAAAATTATATCTTTGGGGGAGGCATAAAGTTGCTGCTGGCATAAGGTCTAAGCACCTCAGCTTGGCCAGCAAGGTCCAGCCCTGTGCTCAGCCTAAGGGGCCCCAGACATCTGATACGTGCCCTGAACACAGCAAGTGCTTAAGTCATCCTGAGGTCTTGCTCAAGTGATTCCTGTATCTGTGCTGCCTCACCTGTCCTAACTCAGCCCCCTCCCTGCTGGGCCCAAACTGCACCTGCTTTGGGAGTCTTTCCTGTTATCTCCAGCCCAACACTTCATTTGCATCTTTAACAAACACTACTGAAGGCACTGTCTCCTGAGTAGTTGCCCAGTTGTTTGTTCCCAGAGCACATTCTACATCCCTTGGGCAGATTTCAAATCCCTTGGGGGGCGGGGCAGGACATCTTCCTTTTTGATTTCCCATGAGTTACGTCATTGCCTGGAATTAAGTAAATGTTCTCTACATGCTGATCTAGAGAATGTCATTTTTCTTTCAAGAGAAGAGGATGTAAAAAGCTAAAGTTGCAAACTAACATTAGCACTTAAGGGTAAACGAAACGCTGTGGTAAACCTCCAAACATCTGTACTTAGGATAATAATATCTTCCTCTGACATCAGTCTCGAGTCCTTGTGGGAGAGGGGCGTGCTCTGCTCCATAGAATCTTTCAGAGACTCGAGTTTCTAGTTATAGTTCTACCATTTCCTGGGACCCTCAGGCCTTCCACAGAATCTTCCACCATATTCTTACTGGTCAGAATTCAGTTCTATATCACCATTTCACTAAAAGAAATTTAGAAGTAAAGTCCAGTGGTGTGCCAAAGTGGGAGAAGAGAATGAGAACTGGTGGACTTCAGAAGTCTCTAATAGCCCCAGATTATAAGACACAATTATTGGCTTTATGGAACCATGACAAAAACTCAGACAGTGTAATGCATCTGAGTTTTTCAAGAAAGTTGCTGAAAACTATATACAGTCATTACATGTTTAAGCCTTTAAATTACTGAACTATTTAAAAACCACAGTTAATATTCAGAATCAGCTTAAATGTTGTTTTTGTATTGCAACTGAAGAAACCTCAATAGCAATTCATACTAGCAACTAGCTGCAGGAAGGCAGAGACTTCTGAATTAAGCAGATACAGACATCAGTTACTTCAAAACAAATTCCACCCAGATTCCTTCTCAATCTAGGATTACACCCAACATTTAGATCATGTTTATATTTGGCTCCAAAAGGAATGTCTGAAACTGTTTATAAGAAGATTATTAGCAGTAAGGAGATACTGTGTTGGTGGGAGGGTGGCATTTGGACCATTTGCCCTAAACAGACTTGAAATGTCATGAATAATGATATTTTCAATTCTATAGATTTTTTTTTTGTGGAAAAATCTAGTGACATTCTTCAAATCCTTGTAGCAATTAAAAATCAAATGTGAATTAAAATTTTAATTCAGAAGTGAGTTCAAGTTGAGACAAGAGTGATTCTTCTTTTAAAGGAGAAAAGGCAATCAGAGAAAAGACCTAAGTGAAGAAACTGGGGAGATATGAGGACCAGAAATTAATGAAGTGCTACAGCAAAAAGCAGACAGTCAAATACAAAACTGAGCCATGGCACTGGGAATAAGGATGGAAGAAAGCCAGGGCCTGGACACCCTAAGGAACACACTTTGAGCCAGGATTTGGTAGCAAACAAGGAATTCTCTCACAAATGCAGTCCCCACAGTGTTCCCCTGCAAGCATCCTTGAAGATTCTGAGAAGGTAAAAATGAGGGGTCTTCCAGTAAGGAAGACAACTTAGAATTCTAGGACTATGCCACAAGATGAGTGTATTTGTCTGTTTTCTGTTACTATCACAAAATATATGAGGCTTGGAACTTTACAAAGAAAAGCAGTTTATTTAGTTCGTAGTTTGGGAGGCTGAAGATCCAAACAGCATAACATCAGCTCTGGTGAGGACCATGAGTATGTGGGAAAGAGAGATCACAGGTTGAAATAGAAAACCAGAGCTCAGGGAGAGGCCAGGCTCACATACATAATAATCCTCCTGGAAGAACTAACCAGAGTCCCTGGGAAACTACATCAATTCCTTTTGAGGGCAGTGCCCTTCGTGACCTAATTACTTCCCTCTAGGCCTTGCCTCTTAAAAGTCCTGCCACCTCTTAACATCATCATGCTGGGGACAAAGCTTCTAACACATGAACTCTTGGGGGGACAAACGACATCTAAGCCACAGTGGTTGGACATGTGTTTGCATTCTTGGGGTGTATTTCATCAAAGTGGTGCCAGTGTTGGCTGAAACTGATAGGAGGAAGGTGGTCATGCTCACCTCTGAGTCTTGGCTGCACCCAGGACTGTTCAGCTCACCTTGCCTTTGTGTGGTACTGCTCCCTGGTTTCATTCATACAATTGACAGTTTAAAAAGTTTTTTAGTCCGTTGGCATTTGGTAAGCTATGTTTTTCCATTCAATTAATTTAAATTGTGGAGTCCTTGCTAGGTGCAAAGCTCTGTACAAAGAAAGCACTGAAACAAAGAGTGTAAAGGCAGATAAGAGCCCTCTTGAGGGGTTCTACCCTAAAGATACATTCAAACAATAATGACAGTGTGGTGTGACGATGTCCATAATGACATTTTGTGTGGGGGGTATTACCTGGGGTTAGAAGATGCCATGCTAAACTAATAGAAGAGGTAATATCTAAGGAGGGGAATATTTCTTGAGGGTGAAAAATAACAAAAGGAAAATTACCTATATAATTACTACAGGGAGACAAGTATTTGAAAAATCAAAAAATAGGACAGAAGATTGGCAGACTATGGGGCTGGCAGGCACCCATGGGAAGGAGGAGTTAGGAGTTCTCTTGGGCTGGAACCTCTAACCTACCTTGGCCAGACACATCACTTTCTTGGCAGCCAGCTTCTGTGCCCCATCATTGAGATTTTCCCCCTATGCCATCACCGAGGCCCTTAACGTCCCGTCCTGGGCAGGGGAATAGCAAGGTAGGAGAAACATAACCTATTCGTGCCATTCTGCTTATGCCGTAGTAGAATCTGTCCACAAATCAATAAATATACAGTGAAACTAGGGTGTTCACGATCTATGGTTCAACACACTAAAGAAAGAAATTCACGGCAAACTGATGGAGAAAAATGTCTAACTGGCCTCTTTGTGGTTACCCCCGTGCGTGGCTACCAGGGGTGTTTGCCTCAACCTGGCTACCCTTATTTAGGCTTCCTGCATCTGGCCTCCTTCTTCTGGCCTTTGGGCTCCCTGATGTCCAGTAGGCTGGGACCACCTGAGGTCTCCTCAGGGCCCCCACCTTTAGGAAGTTGTTTGCAATTCCTTTTGGAGACTTCCAGACCCACATGTCCTGGCAAATCAACCTCCTTCCCTTTCCTGCCTTCTCCCTCTCCCCTGAGGGTCTTTGAAGAGAAGCAGCACCTGAAAGACTGAGGCAGACTCCCCCTCACCAGGTTGTGGCTGATGTGTGGGTGCTTCACCCTCCCTTCCCCTCTGCAGCCAGGGGTCTGAGGGGCTAGTGGTATTGTCAGCATTCCTGGTTCTGGGAAGGCAGGGTTACTGGGACGTCAAGTCCCAGAAGTCTCTGACAGAATCTGGGACAGCTGATCATCTAAAATTATCTTGCAATTAATAAATTATTCTCTGCTTCTTACTAAGTGAGGGAGTCACCAACACATTCTAACGCCGTTCAAAACCCTTAAGCCTCTTACTCAGGGAGAGCGCTTGTTCTCCAAGTTTCTCAAAGTTCCTTCTTTTATTACAAAATGGACCCGTTGAGATAACCTTTAAGAAAATCTTGTGTCAACTTCAAAGTAAATACAAAATGCTATAAACCACCTTATCCAGTTCCCCCAAGTAGAATTTAATCTATCTCTCTGCTATTCTTATATTCTATGTTGAGTAGAGCCTTTCTCAGTTCAGCCTTGTCTATCTTCCTCCTGTGAGTAGGAACCCCTTGAGGGGAGGATCCAGGTCTTGTTTATCTGTTTTTTTTCTGCCCCGTGGGCTTGGCCAGGGCCTGACATAGCACATGCTGGGCCCTGCCTACCTCCTGATACAGTTCTCTCCATTTCTACTGCTGTAGCTTCTGGGTCCTCATGTGCAGGCCTGGCTTGGGCTTGGGCTTGGGCTATGATGCCACAGCCAGTTGCAATTAGAATCAAGTCCACCAGAACATAAGCTCCATTAGGGTTAGTCCCTGGGTTGTCTTCTTCTGGACCATATCCCTACAAAGTGCATGCCACCTAATAATCTCTCAATAATCATTAGTTGAGTAAATGAATGAGTGAAGGAAGAGATGAATGGATGGATGAATGGATGGATGGAAGGAAGGATGGATGGAAGGAAGGATGGATGGAAGGAAGTATGGATGGGAGGATGGAAGGAAGGATGGATGGGAGGATGGGTGGAAGGATGGAATAAGTTACAATTGCTGGGAACCAAATCTCATCTTCTGTCCAAGTTTACTCAGCTGAGCTTCTCTTTTCCTCCCTGTGCTCCAGTTGCCTGGTAATAGACCTGTGCCTCTCTACCTGAGCTCTGGCATTTTTAGCTTTGCCTCCCATGCATTTCCTACCTCCTCATTTCACCTCTTCATGGCCTCATCTTGCGCCCTCATGTCTGCCTCGCCTCCTGACCACTGTCATCATGCTCTTCAGACACTTAATGTGTGCATCGACTGTTCCCTGTTCCTTCCTGTGCTGGTCTTTTTGATATCTCTGGGCCCTCCTAGTCACAGTTCCATTCCAAGTATCTGCCTATCTATGGTGTGCCGTGAATACAGATGGACTGAACTGTATTATTTGGTTTCTTGTCTTCAATCATAAGGTAACTCAGGAGAAATCTGTTTATTTTTGCAAAACTGAAGTCGGATGCCTTCTGCCATGATGCTTCTCTTATACCAGTGATACCACAAGAGAGAAGCACTCATCTATTATACACCAGACACTGTGGGGCATTTCCCCGCTAACTTGACATTGGTGTTACTCTTTACTGGGGCTGTGGCTATGGCTCAGCGGTAGCACACTTGCCTGGCATGTGTGAGGCACTGGTTTCAATCCTCAGCACCACATATAAACAAATAAATAAAATAAAGATCTATCAACAATTTAAAAAAATTTTTTTAAACAAAAATAAAATAAAATATATATTACCTATGTAGTTCCTTTAGCAGTGCTTATATATTGCTTAGTTTTGGACCCCACAATAAAATGAAAAAAGTCAATTTATAAAATTTTGGGGGGATAAGAGTAGATAAATAAAGATACTGTGATTAATATTAGTGGGCAATTAGCTTTTTCATTGTCTATTAACCTAGTTACAATTGACTCTGATACATAAGTACATTTGTAGAGAGCCAGGAAAAAAAGATGAGTGGGTCTATAAACAGAGTAATATGCTCAGGGCAGGGGTGTAAGTCACGTTGTCTAGCTAGCAGTGAAAGTTTATCATTAACCAAATGTTTCACTTATGACATTGAACATGCTATACTGTTTAGCAAGCAGTGCGTGGGTAGCTGAGTCTCCCAAGGAACTGTTTGTCTCCTGAATTCCGGGAAGTCAGATACTGAGGGAGAGGAAGGCCTGTGTACGTTGAGGGGTTAATGGGTACTAAACACTAGTAACTGGATGTTTGGAGGGTGTGCGCACTCCCCTGCCACAGATGGGATGCTGTAGCTGTCCTGACAGGTTAGTCTCATGGTCAGCAGACATCACTAGGAGTGTTCTGTCTTCAGAAAGCTGAGCAGAGTTCAGCTTTCTGGCTGCTGCTTCTCTTGAGGTTCTGAGATGAGACTATTATTATTGCCTGTGTTTATTAGAATTACAAGAGAGAAAAGTTTTCAACTGGTAATTTAGGGGGCTCCTTTTTCTTAAGTATTTCTAATGAGAGGCTGTGATAACAAAGCTTCATATTTTCTTTCAGGTGAGCTCCAATGAATTGGCCCATGAAGGAAAAACAGGAACACATTGGGCCACACTGGACGAGAATGGCAACGCCTTCCAGACGCTGCCTCCTTCTGATCGGTGCACTGGGCGTCTTTGCATTTGACCGCTTCACACAAGGTCAAAAGAACAGCACACTAATTTTCACAAAGGAAAACACCATCCGGAACTGCAGCTGCTCTGCAGACATCCAGGACTGTGATTACAGTTTGGCCAACCTGATGTGCAGCTGTAAAACTGTCCTGCCTTTTGCAATAGAGAGAACCAGCTACAATGGCCATCTGACCATCTGGTTCACAGACACAACTGCGCTGGGCCGCCTGTTGAACTTCACACTAGTCCGGGACCTGAAGCTTTCCCTGTGCAGTTCCAACACCCTCCCCACTGAGTACTTGGCTATTTGTGGGCTGGAGAGACTTCGCATCAACTCAGAAGCCAAACATCCATCCCCAGAGCAGAGTTTACTCATCCATAGTGGTGGGGACAAGGACAGCAACTCCAAAGAGAAGCCAGTATCATTACATAAAGACTGGCAGACATGTATGTATATATCATTCTTAGATATGGCTCTTTTCAACAGAGACTCATCCTTAAAATCATATAGTATTGAAAACATTGCTAGCATTGCCAACGACTTTCCTGACTTTTCTTACTTTAAAACCTTCCCAATGTCAAGCAACAAAAGCTATGTGGTCACAGTCATTTACTAACTTTGTAATTGTGTCCAGCCTCTAGGAACTTCAACAAATGATGGATCATTTGAACAAGGAGTCTGGGAATAAGGTCATGAGACAGCTATTCCTACTCACAGCTGTGCCTTTTAACCCCCAAACTCTGCTCATGGCAGAGCCACACATAAATAACCAGCTCTCTCTGCTCTGCTCCATGCTCAGCCTTGGCAGCTATTTTGAAAAAGAAAGTGAAAAGAAACAAAAACAATGAACTTGATTCAGTCTGGAGACTTGTCTCAAGGGCCAGTTAGAACCTAGGTCTTGGCAACTGGGAGCTTGTCAGACCAGAAGAGAAGAAAGCAGTGCACATCGGAAACAGCTTATTGGGGCTCATTATAGAGTAAGACATCCCCCACCCCCACAGAAAGGCATCTTCTTTTAAAATACAATAGTCACCCTTTATCTGTGGGGGAACACATTCCAAGACCCCCCAGTGGATGCCTGAAACTGCAGATAGCACTAAGCCCTACCAAAACTCTTTTCTCCTACATACACATTCCTATTATAAAGTTTAATTTATAAATTATGCACACTTATGGATTAACCACAATAACTAATAATAAAAGTAGAACAATGATAACAATACACTGTAATAAAAGTCATGTGAAAGTGCTTCTCTCTCTCAAGGTATCTATTACACTGTATTCACTGTTCTTCTTGTAATGATGTGAAATGATACTTAAAGGAGCATCATGTCCCTGGACTTGAAAATCATATAGTATTGAAAACATTGCTAGCATTGCTAGGGTTGAACACTCAGGGTCACTCCAGGTGAACTGGGCTGCATGAAATAATCACACAGAGACAGATAAATACCTTTTTCTTTGGGTCCTGTGACAGCTCCTCTGACCTTAGGTGTCTGTGGAAAGAGAGAGAGGAGCACGTGCTGAACCATTTTTTTGGGAAGAAGCCATTCATATTAGGCAAGGGATAGGATTACAAAGGAATAGGTGAGCATGAGCATAGCTCAACCCTGGCAGGTGACGCCTACACCTGGAGTCACGCCTTGCTCTCTGAGCTGGGACAATGCCCAAGTCACCACGAAATGTAGTGCTTGGTCAGAGCCTCCTGCTTCAGGACTGGAAGGCATGGTCATTCACAGCAGCTCCCCACACAGGAGAGTGGGAGATTTTAGCACATCACTCACTCAGGACAACTTGAAATTTAAAACTTATGAATTGTTTTTTTCTGGAATTTTCCATTTAATATTTTGAAATGATGGTTGACTGCCAGTAACTGAAACCATGGGTGGGGGAATTGTGGATAAGAGGAAAATTCTGTACTGCTTTAAGTTTTTTTTCTGCTTCGTTTTGTGACATTGTCTGGAATTCCCCTCAGTGGAGAATGGTAGATATCAGAAGTTTGGGGACTTTGAACTCCACAAGATGTCTAGGATCTCTGAGGCTAATATTTTCCAAATATCTTGCTAAGAACAGATGCACTGAGAAATGGGAGTTTCAAGAACATGATTTTGGAGGATGGGATAAAGTAGAATAGGCATAGATAGGGCAGGAACTTGGCACCCAAATGAGGGCAAGGTTTCTAAAGAGGGGGATGCAGAGGTGAAAATTGGAGGGCACAAAAAATAACTGCATATTGTATCTCAAGATGTTGCTTAGAGCAGCCTAATCCCAGGGAAAGGGTTCTTCAAGCCCTTCTCTTTCACGTCCTCCATTCTCTGAATCTCCCAGCTTTGTCTCCCTTATTCTACTCCCCCCACTTTTCCTCTCATTTCCTCTTCCCTCTTTCCTCCTTGCTTCAGAAATCAGAATGTAGATTATTATCAGTTGAAATATTAAACTTCATTAGGGGCTAGCCTGGGGGTCTAATAATCACTTCTTATTCCCATGGAGAAGAGTGCTCAACATATTATTAGTGTGTGTCGATCCCATGCTGGGGTTGAGCCCCAAAGCCTCATGCACACTCGGCAGAGGCTCCACCACCGAGACGCATGTGCTGTGTGCAGTTCCTGGTAAACTTTACTTTTTTCTTTGTCTTTGATAATTAACAAAATAAAATTTTGGTACTCAGACCATTTGGAAATTCAAGATTGGAAAGGTAAGACACTTTATGTAACCTGATGAACACACAAAAAAATGGTGTTATGTGTGTTGATAAAAGGAATGAAAGCAACATATTTTTTCAAATCAAATTGGTTCAACATTACAGAAAAAAACCCTTCACCTCACAGAGACACAACTTGCCATTACAGTAGAACAGAAAGAATCTATGACAACTGTGTTCAAATGTTTACACTCAAAACACAATGATGTCAAAATATTATTGTACCCATGATTCCATAATGATAAAAAATAGTTTGATATGATGTCCCAGAGATGGGCCACTTTCATTACAGATGACAATCATCACATTGTTTTTTTCTTTTAACCTTAACATAGGGTGACTGAAGTAATCTGAAATTTCTACATTTGCTTAATTGGTGGGGGATTTGGCCATTCAGGCTAATTAGCATGAGTTTATAATGTCAGTGTTTAAATTAGGCCAGAATGCAGACCAGAGTATGAATTTTAATTTAAAAAATGCAACAACCTCATTACTGCATTGTACTTCAGAAGTAACATTAAATTAGAAAAGACAAAGAAGGGGGAGAAAAGGAGGAGAAAGAAGACAAGTAAGGCATAAGTGAAAAATAATAAACATATCTTTACTGTCATTAGTTATGGAAAATGTAACAAATTGGATTTTAATGAAGTTTTATTAATGCATAAAACTAATTGATGTTATAAATTATGTACATCCTATAAAACCTATCATGTGTTAGCTTTAAATAGTTTCAAAACCCTTTCACATATGTTTTCTTAGTTCTTATGAGAAATCATTGAGAACTAATGAGATTTAAACCAATAGAAGGTGGGATCTAATTTAGCTATAAGTCAAGGCTGAGGTTTCCAGATTTCTAACTGCAACTGTAGGTTGGGTGTTGCTGTTGTGGGATAAATAAGGGATGGAAAATCCACAGCACAGACATGGTAATAAAGGGAATTCTGCACTCAGCAGCAGGGTGGGAGGAAAGCAGGGAGTGGTGGGATGGCTGTAAACTGAGGGTGTAACTCCGGTGGCTCAGCTGCTGCTGAGTGCTGCCCTGGAACACTGTGGGACCAGATCTGATGCTTCAAAAGAATTTGGAATTCCAGCTTTTTATGCGAAAATTTGCAATTTGTAAATGTTGACATGCCATTCAGTGTTCTTTTTTTTTTTTCATAACATCAATGTGGTCAACAAACTATGCTAATAGTTACATCTGGACTGGGGCCAGTAGCAAGTTGGTGAAAGTTTAGCCACCATTTTAAAAAAATCTATATCTCTATCTGTATCTGAATATATGGGTCTATATACAGATACACACACACAGAGATATCTGTATATATATATATATTTGTCTATACACAGATATATATAATGTACATAGTTCATTATGAAGTATATGCTGTACAGAATTTAAAAATGATAATAAGTATGTATTATTCTTTATTAAGAATTCTACAGCACAATTAATTCTCAAAGAATAGTATGCTTGATTTTTGTCAAATTCTCATATCTAAAACCAACCTAGAGTTGCAACCAATGAGAAAGTGCAGTTCTGGCATGAATAGTGATTGAGATTTTCATTTATGTCGGGAATAAGAGCAAAGTTAAACAACAAAAACACACATGGGAACATTAGTTGTTAGTCGATGATGTAAGCAACTTCTTTGCTAAATCAAGTGATAGTTTTCAAATCCTGGAGGAGTATTTCTTCTATTTGGGGGCTATCTATAATTTAAATGGTATAGACATGATTTAAGTTTAATCTACATTTTTTATCATTCTCAACAAAATAATAACTCAAACTCATATATGCAGTGTTTTTCTGATTTCAGTGTTTTAAATATTGTCACTACATCCAAACAAAAGCTACCAAGAAAACACAGAGTTGAGAACAGTAGGACACCATTAAATGACATCCTCTCAACAGATGCAATAGGTACAAATAATACAAAGAGCATTATAGTAAAGTGTAGTAAAATAATTAGGGAGCCATGAGTTTTAAGTATTTATTATCTTCATTTTATATGACTTATATAATTGTAAGTTTATATAATTTAACTTTTAGCAATGACTGTGCTTAACACCCAGCTTGGAAAATTTCTAAAAATTTGCCAATGAGGTCCTGCCAGCCATAGAAGTCCATGCCACCCACTGGCAGAAAGAGATGCTGAAGGATCTGCATGAAGACGATGAGTTTAGGGAAGGGAAGGACAGTCAATTCAGTACAGAAATGCCCATCTTCTCACCTTCCAGACCCACAGGTGGAAGTCTTAGGGATTAGCAACCACCCTACATGCAGTAGTCCACTCTTCAATACACAGAGCAGTGGTCCCAAAAGTTCCTAATGTGGGAGATGGTGGGGTTGAGGAATTTAAGATCTTATGAGAAAATATGAATTAAAAGCTAAAACTCTTCAGTCAAACTATAAAAGCCCCCACCCCCGAAAAAGAGAAAGGAAACAAAGGAATGAAGAAGAGATATGAATGATATTTTATGCAAATTAAATTGGTAAAGATGGGAATCAGATAATCAATTTCAATTTCTCAGACTTTCTCCCTGGTAATTTCAGGACCTTCCTTTGTCCATAATTTACAGGAAGAAGTTTAGAAATTTGATTTGATTTGCTTCAGGAAAAATGAGGTGACAAGGTCCTTTATTTATGCATTTGAAGTTGAACAGAGTCACTAATCACAACTCAGTGGTGCACAAGGTCGGTCATGATTTACTCAGTTCATCTCCAGAGAAGCAGAGGATCTGCAGAGAGGAGAAGGAATCATAAAGCCTTACTGACGTAACCAATGCAGCACAACCAACAGACAGAGTGGCAAAAATAGCCCCAAACTTAACCCAATTTTTAAAAATTTTGTACATGTGGAAACAGAAAGAGACTAACAAACAGGAAAACAGGGAAATACACAAACATGTGAGTTGTAACTCAAATAGCCAATAACTGAATTTAAAATTACCTTTACTAAAGGAAATGCAATGAGATACTAATATTTCATCCATTAGTAAAAATCCATTGGTAAAAAATAGTTATTTGATATTAACTTTTGTTGTGTCTGTAGGCAAATACATATTCTCACACAATGTTGGTGGGAGAATAAACTCAATTTGAAGTACAATTTAGGAATGTGTCTTAAAATGAATACAAGCTTGAAGCCAATGATTCTGTTTCTCCGTATCTGCCATAAAGAAACGTTCCTCCAGAGAGAGATATATGTCAATTAATAAAAATTCATTTAACCACTCACATGTCAATTAATAAAAATTAACTTAACCATTCACCTATAAGCATATTTTTCATATGCATATTATACTTCAATAAAGAGTTTTTAAAAGAAAACAATAACATAACACTTGGGTAATTGTCATCTAGAATTGATAAATATGAACACTCTGTCATGTTTACTCTAAGATTTTTTAAATGAAAGAAATAAAACACTATTAGTATTTAAAATTGGAAAACAATTATGAACTTTATATAGTAGGTTTGTTGTTGGAAGTAGTATTGACACCACAATTCTGAAACTGTATTGAGTGTATTGTAGGATTGTGCAAAAG